CCCCCCCGCCCCTCCCGGCGGCACTACCGACCCCAGCCCCGTCCTTCCAGCTCTGCCCGGGGACGGGGGGTGCCCCGAGGACCAAGGGGCAGCACAGTGCAAAGGGCAGGCTCCGACGTGCAGTTTTTTTAGTGAAAAAGTGTTTTTTCCCCTTTCAAAGGCACAGAACCGGGGCCCGGGTTTGGTCTCAGGGTGGGAAGGAGCCCGTGGGAGAAGGGGCAGAGCCCCTGGGTGCTGGTGGGGCGTCGGGGAGGCTATGGGGACCTCCCCGTGCTGCAGCTTGACCCAAGATCTGGGGGGGACTCACTGTAGTGGTGAAGCAGTGAAGACTCCCCACCAGCTCGCTCCCCCGGCAGAGATGGGGCTCTGCCAAAGGGCAGGCAGCAGGTTTCCCAGCGTGGACCCGCAGTGCTGAGCCAGCAGCCCGGCACCAATGGGTTCCTGCACAGGGAAAGGCAATTCCTTCCCACCTCTGCCAGCTTGAAATGAACAGTGAGCAGCTGCCGCCCCCTAATCCATCCTCTGAGCCCCTGCCCCAGACCCCTCTCCAGCCCAGCAGCTATGGACACCCTGCCCATCTCTGCCTGTGTCTGCAGCGGCCGTACCCCAGGACACCCCTACCTGCCATCCCCAGCTTCTCATCAAAGGGACCACCTTCCTCCTTCCTGTGGATAATGCATTTCTTATTCATCAGATTGTGATCCTGAGCTTTCCTGGTATTTATTACGACAGGGTTATCACCAGTAACTTCAGCCTCAGAGGCTTGAAAACATGGGGTTTTTGCCACAATGTGCTGTCGGCACTGTCCTTCCCAGCAACATTGTCTTTGGGTTGTAGGCACCCCCAAATGTGTGGGGAACAACCCTCGCTCAGCACGGCTGCAAAAACAGGTCAAAGCCTGGGTTCTCCTCCTGGCCTGCTGCTGGTTTCTGCGTACAGCCGTTCAGCGTGGTCCTGGGAGGTCCAGAGCAGCCCTTTGCTGCACAGGACAGAGAGACAAGATCTTGACCACAAGTTTGTGCCAGGTGTTGGGAGAAACTGCAGTACCACGGGAGCAGGCAGATGAAAGGCAGATGAACCCCCTTCTCCTGGAGTCAGGACTGAGGTGCAACCTTCACACCCTCTTACAGACCCGCATGAGATCCCGAGCTGGCTTTTCTGGACTGTCATGTTCTCTGCATGTGGCAAGTTGGCTTCAAGAGGCCTCATTTCAGGGCAGGAGCAATCCTGTGCACGTTGGGAACCAGTGCTGTGGCCTCGTCCCCACTGCTTCACTTACAAACACAACACGTAACGGCGCTACGCTCACATGCAAAGTGACACAGCGATGAGTGAAGGATCCAAACGTGCGAATGTCAAAATTTTTTATTTACAACAGTCTCCAAAAATCAAGGAACACTGAAAATAGTGAGGGTAGGAGACGACTTACAAAAGTAACACGCGTACGTTACATCGGGAATTGTGCTACATCACTCTGAGAACCGACACTCTAAGGTCTGCACAGGACGTGGGGAGACGGCAGTGCCCTCCCTCCTTGGGGTGCTCGCACCTCTCCTCCCCGTGGCTTTTGAACCATCCTCCCTCCCATTTGTTCTCTTCTGCTTCCCCCTGCAAACCTTTCTCCTCATCTGCGTGTTGCTCTGCCTCTGGTCCTGGCCATCGCCTCCCCGACCCGTCCAGCAACCGCCCCAAGGAGGAGCGGGGGGAGAAAACCAAACACCCCAACAACTACGTCCTCGGGATGGAGATGGGCCCTGAGCGACTTTTAGCTGCAGGACCCTGGGCACCAAGCCAGGGCAGAGCAGTTAGTGGAGGGCTTTGAGAAAGCATAACCTGTGAACTGTGGCTGGCATGCTATCTGGGGTGAGGAGTGATTTCGGAAGAAATAACTAAGAGACTGTGAGTTTGTCCTGCCCGGCTGTAAATCAATCAGCATGGCCTCCTTGGGGGACAGCGTGGGAGGATTTATACATGTCACAAGGTTAAATAAAAAGCCTTTTATAACCTTCCAGGAGGGCAGGCTGCTCTGGAAAGAAAACTCAGTGCAGGACAAGCTAAAAGAATTAGATGCTGTGACATAAAGCAACATCCCAGCTTGCTCCAGCAGAGACAAAGCCAGGGGTGCCTGGAGACCATTTGGTTACCAATGGTCCCAGTAACACTGTAAGCGTGCCACACATCCTCCTCCTTGGGGGTATTTCTCAGGCTGGCTTTGCTCTGGCATAGTTTCAGATCCATCAGGGATTGAGAAACAAAGCCCAGTTCAACCACTGATCCCCTTTCAGTATCTGCAGCCCCTGGAATTGCTGAGGTCAGTGGCCAAAGCTGATGCCCCAGTTGCCTGGACAGACGCTGCGTGAACCAACACCTCAAAAGGCACCATAACGTAAGGAAACAAAGAGAGCAAGGAGACTCTGACAATGATCTCTGCAAATCACATCAGCTCTGTTCCTCCTCCCTCCAGAGCTGATTTCGACAGGGCTGTTGTGAGCAGAGACTCTCTCCAAGTGTCCTCCACAGCCATGGGGAGCCTTAAATCCACTCAGCAGCTCTACTGAAGGTGAAGAGCACCAACACCACCTCAGTGCATGTGTCACAGAGCTTCAGGGGGATCAGTGCCCTTCTGTGCCTGCCCTGGGCTGGCTTCGGGTCACTCTGTTTTGCAGGAGAGTGCACATTTTCAGAACAACCCCCATCCCGAAACATTAACATCAACTTTTCAGACTGTAACCCTCAAAACAGGATTTACTAGAAATAAAGGAGTGGGCAGTAACAGAAACTGCCGTAACTGAAAATTTGTGTACATTTCTTTTTAACTACAGCCAGATTGTTTTGAAATGGAAAACTGGAGCATTCTCTTCCAAGTAAGGCTGGTCTGCTGTGTTCTACTGTTTAAAAACATCAAAACTGACAGCTTCGTATGAAGCATTTTAACTCCCTAGTTTCCTCTGTCTGAGAAATTCTCCCTGAGACAATCTCCAGCCACTTTTAGTCCAGACTCTGTGAGCACCTTAGGCATGAGCAGCTACCACGGAGAAGGCTGAACCTTGCTCAGCAAGACGATGGAGCCCAAGAGATGGTCTGTGAAACAGAGGAGTCATCAGAGAAAGAAGATTGGCAGAGATGTGGGAGGAATTAATTTAGGGCGAGCATCTGCTCCCGGAACAGTGCCAGACAGGTGAGGTCTTGCTTTTTATTGCTACGAGCATCTGCCTCGGAGCACCGACTCCCAGCAGGGCTGTCAGCCCCACCTTCACATTTGCTCAGATAAACCCATCCGTTTTCTTACCTCTATACTTTTATGAATATTTTCTAATGCTAAGGAGGATGCTGCCTACGTGGAGATGGATGTACACATCTGCCACTGATTTATTGTCTCCATAGATGCTTGGGGACATCAGGGTGTGGTAAGCATTTTGAGGAAGGCTGTGCCCCACCTCTAAGCCTCTTTCAATCTGCAGAACGTGGAGAAAGCACCAGCCACCCTGACCAAAGAGCTGTGCAGAGTGAAATGCTGATGGGGCAAATGTCTCATTAGATCTTAAAACATGACTATGTTTAATTAAGTTGTCAGCTTACCAACATCCAGTGGGTCCTTCCAGTGAAAAACATCTAGGATCATCTCCTGGCTCTTCTGCCATCCTACTACGATTTGGAGTAAGTTCCTCTTCCTCTCCTTTCCTCAGTTTCCTTGCTGGAGGGACACAGTTTCCTCAATATGCCTTTGTGAATCATCTGCTACAGCTCTGCATGTATCTCAGTCTCCCTCAGTTTCCTTCCTGATTCACTTCAGCCACAGCTCTCCCAGTACTGCCTTGGACAAAGAAGGGCAAGGTGATGCCCTGCTCCTGCTAGTGCCAGCCAACCCTTCTGCACCGCGTGCGCCTGGGCTGGCTGGAGAGAAGGAGGGAAGTGACAGCTTGTCCTTTCCCCTGCCTGCTCCAGAAAACAGGACAGATCCTGTCAGGTGCCAAGAACTCTTGTTATTTTTGTCTGCAGATCAGACGCTGCCAGATCAGACCCAAGAGACATAAAAGGTTTTCCACTGCTTTGAAATTAATCTTTGCCTTCCAAGAGTGGCTGAATGAACGGTCCCAGCATGGTGTGTCCAGAATCACTCTGGAGGCAGGGGGGAGCTTATATCACCTCTTTATAGTGAGCACAAACACAGGACACCATGGGCTTAAATGAGCTTTAAACTTTGCAGGATTCAAAGCACAGCTTTGCCTGGTCTTAAAGGCCTTTCAAGGTTTCTTCATGCTCATAGGAGGAACTTCCTCTACGGGTGCACTCAGCACCTTATTCTCTTGTCTGGTGACCTGGAAACATCCATCAGCTTTAATCACTCCAAGGAGTTTGAAGCAGAAGCTAAATTCGGGCCAGGCCACCAGCCAGAGCACCAGGGCTACCTTGCTCTCCCTGCGACACCCACGCAGCCACAGGGGTCTCGGGGGGCTGTATATCAGCAGCACACTGTCCTCCACGCTCCCTGCCACTCAGCAGTGCTCAGGGCATGACTAGTCATTAAACCTGGAGAACAGACATAGCTTACAGATCAATGTTGGAGCTGAACTGTGCACAGCAGCCACCAAAGCAGCACAGCTTAAAGACAGTCAAAAATCCGTTCCAAAATAATTTGTTCATGGCCACAGGGTTCATTATGAAGGAACTGGTGCAGATCAGAGGTAGGTGCCAAGGAACATTTAACGCTTTGCAGAAAGGGGTAACTCAGCTGCACTGTGGGATGGCGAGGAAGAAACCAGGTCTGTTCTGCTCACACTCTCACCATTCTCACTGCCTGCAGTAGGATTGCTCTGGATTTCCCCTGGCATCAACAAGAGTCCTGTCCTGGCACTCCTCTCTCTGGCTGAAACCTGGGGAACCTAACTTTTAGAACAAACACTTG